AGGGTTCCTGCTTGACCTTTTTGGATGGCATCAGGTGACTTTCCTCTGAGTCAGAACTGGAGGTGTTTCAGAAGCATGGTGGACATGAATAAAGTGGGAAATAGTTATTGTAGGTTTTTTGGGCTGTGTTTGGCCATGTTCTGAAGGACCTCTGAAGATAACTCCTGTCCTTTGAAGAGTTGTAGGTTTTTCGGGCTGTGTTTGGCCGTGTTCTGAAGGTCCTCTGAAGATAACTCCTGTCCTTTGAAGATGACGGCCACAGAGACTGGCAAAACGTTAGGAAGAAAAACCTTCAGAACACGGCCAAACAGCCTGAAAAACCTACAACAACAATTGGATCCCGGCCGTGAAAGCCTTCGAGAATACAGAAGTGGGAAATACTTGACCCTACCAAAACTTTGTGAATTCAAATTTCCACTAGCTTTGCATGAAATAAAAGTTGGAGAAGAGGCGAGGAAGTTAGCCTTGTGCATAAATCCAGAAAGGTGATTGGACTCTCAATCTTCACGTGGGTTGTTCTTTTTGTAGCTGGGAAGGAACCAACATGTACTACCTTCCTTTATGTGGCAGTCCAAAGGTGAGGTTCTTTGCCATAGGCTGATGGGAAAAGACTGGTAAATATGAGATTGGTGGACTTTTCCAAGGAGAAATGCATTAATCACTGGTTGAGGGTTAGGAGGGGTCACCTGTTTAAACTTGGCATCATCCACTTTTGTTAAAATGTCTTACGCAGTTGTGTAGTCTGCAGGTGAAATGTTTCCTGGTATTGGGTAAGACTGCAAAAGTTTGCAGGGTTTTTTTTTCTTTTTCAAATATTGCAAACATGTGTGCATAGTCAGTGGTTTCTGTTAGACTCCTCCTGGTTGAAAATTGGGCAATGTGTAAACAGTTTGGGAATATGAGGTGGGAAGGGAATTATGTTGCTGAAGAAGCACCCAAGCAGAACTTGGGAAAGTCAGGGGTGGGGAAAAATCTCACTAAGGTGAGCTGAACTGTGGAGTTGGTTGGGATCTCCAGGGGTCATCTAGTCCACTGGTTCTTAACCTTTGTTACTCAGATGTTTTTGGACTGCAACTCCCAGAAGCCTTCACCATCAGCTCTGCTGGCTGGGGTTTCTGGGAGTTGCAGTTCAAAAACACATGAGTAACAGAGGTTAAGAACTACTGAGTCAACCCTTGTTTATGCAGTAAACTGAAGTATCTTTGGGAAGTGATTAAGGCTCCTGTGGGTGGCCACCCCGAAGGAGGCCCATAAGTCTTTCTACAAGAGGTAGGGCCTTCTTCACAGTGGCTCCAACCTTATGGAACCAGCTTCCAGAGCAGCTCTGACTAGCCCTCTCCCTTTTGATATTTAGGAGGCAGCTAAAGATGGTAAGCCTTCAGAGAGGCTTTCCACACTAACCCTGCCAGATCACTTTTTTTCATCTTTATTGTTTGTTTTGTTTTTGTTTGTTGTAATCTCCCAGAGTAGGGCCTTGGCACTAATTGGAGCGGGATATAAAATGAATGAATGAATGAATGAATGAATGAGGGATAATCTAGCTTCAGTTGAAAATCCACCCACAGGACTTGGCTCCTAGACCTTTCACCCTCTTCTGGACATATTCCATGTTATCCATAACTTCCCGAAATGATGGGTGCAGGGCAGAACTGGACATATGTTCATGCTTTTCTCCATTGCTCAATCTGGTAGTGTTTTTATTCTTATAACCTGGTAGTTTAGAACATCTCAACGGACAGATATTCAAACCGGGTGCAAATGCATAAATCTGAAACAAGTTTGGATTGTGTAGAGGGGAGCACTGCCAAAGACAAGTTTTAGCAGTAGCTGAGAGTGAGAAGATGAACATTGTAGACCAATCCACAATTTTTAAATTGCCTCATAACAATGAAATTATCTGAGGACCTAAAGGGCATGCTGTTGTGGATGTCATCAGCCACTTCTTCCTGTGGTCTGGGGTAAGGAATTCCTTTCAAGAGAAATTGAAGATTTACTGCAGTGCTTTCCTTCAAATGGGCCTGTCTTACAAAGGCCGCTGAGGATTATTGAAGGCCTCGCCTGCATTCTTGTGAGGCACATTGAGCCTTCCTGGGTTCACACAGAGGCACATTCAGAAACTAAACCGCAAGGCTGTGGTTGCAAAGTGCCTAAACCACTGGGAAAATTTAGGTCAGCCAAACCACCAAACCAGGCTTTGTATCAACACTGTGCTACCTTTGTCTTGGCCATTTATTTCCTAAGATGTCAAGGAGGCAAGCTTTTCTAAAACATCCATGTCCTGGTCAGGCTTAGGCTTCTCTGCCCTGCGTGTAGTCTTTCACAAGTCAGAAGGCGAGCAGCCCAGCAACATACAAAAGTGGTCATATAAGGCACCCTAAGGATATAGGGTTATGTGGTGCCTGTTAGGCAGTGCCACGCTGTGAGTGTTTGATGGAAATCCATGGTACCCCCTGGACTGTGCCCTGAGTCTTGTGTGGTGAGTCTTGTTTCAGAGCATTGAGAGGATACCGGGTGTAACTTTTTGCAGAGAGTAGCGTTCTCCGCTGTGAGATCTTCCTGGAGGGAGCTTGCAAAGTTGGCATGTTTAGACCATATTCTTGTCCAAGAGGCGCTCTGTGTGTGTGTGTGTGTGTGTGCTGTATGCTTGTCCAAGAGGCCGTGTGTGTGTGAGTGAGTGAGAGAGAGAGAGAGAGAGAGAGAGAGAGAGAGAATCTCCCACTCACTGAGGGCAGAGCCAGAGTGATCTCAGTTAAAAATGGAATTCCCTGTGTGTGGTTTGGGAATGGAGTCTGTGCAGTTAATCCAGAGGCATGGGTGTATCAAGGCGTAGGATGATTTTTGGGCTTGGGAGGGATTCTCTTGTTGCTATTGAACAACTGGCTGTCGTTGTCTGCCGATTCAAGCCCTCGGTTAGTCAAGCCCTGCCAACAGTATAGTCTCTTCCACCTAGCAAAGTTAGTCAAGCCCTGCCAACAGCCAACAGTATAGTCTCTTCCACCTAGCAACACCCCTCCCAAGATTTTGTGGTGAAGACCTTCATTTGTCCGGCAGGGCTGTTTGCAGCTCACCAAGCGCAAGTGGGAAGAAGGGGTTTATCCTTTTGGGATCCTGTATCCTGGCATGTTTTGACCTCTCAGACCTCGAATCATTTGTATGGAAAGCAGATGCCCCTAAGTGCCATGAGAGAGATTTCTTTCAACCAGAAACCCAAAGAGTATTTTAAAAGTCTCCCAGTCTGGCTGTTAGGTTTCTAGGAAGCAGAGCACACACATGGGGAGAAGGTTTGCCTTTATTTTATTTTATTTTGGTTGAGAGTTTCCAGAACCTTCTAGCTGTCATGATTTGGTGTTCTCATCCACAAAGCCACTTTTGCAAGCTCTGCTTCTGTGGAAGAGCTTGGAAGGCCACTGTTGCACACAGACGGAGTTTTCGGCTGTTCTTAGAGGGTTAAATAAATTCTTGGCATGCATTGCCAGCAGCTGTAAGGAGAGCATTCTCAGCCAACTGCAGAAAGGCAAGTTGTGTGTGTGTGTTTTTTTTTTGTTTTTGTTTGTTTTTTTGCAGGGGTGGCAGAATGTCTGCTTTTGCATGGTGAAGGCATTGTGGAGAACCCAACTAGAAGCCCCCGCCATGAGAACACCATACCTGAGCCAGGCTGGGGTTGTAGGGGATGGCCTACTGTGTGCTGAACATACATACCCCCCTTTGGCTTCTCATAGCACACCTCTGGGTTAAAGAGAAGCCCAGTTGTGTCTCGCATGGCCAGAGGCTGGGCTACCTCTGTGGCCAGCTGCTCTCCTTTCTCACATTGCCCGCTCCCTATTTGCCCAATTTGGGCATTCTTTGCCAAGCATTCCAGTGGCATCGTGACTCAGATCCCCTTTTTTTGTGTGTGGGGGTCATAGGGGAGGACGGCGGCTGCTGAGTCACAGGGTGTTAGCTGCAGGCATTTTTCCAGCTTGGCACCATTTAGGAAGGCTTTAGCATGGAACTGGGGAACACACCCTCTTGGCAACTGAAGCTGTTTTGCTTAGAAATTATCTTATCAACCGCAGGCAGCTTGTGGAACGAGCATGGGAGGAGGCCTTGTCCCAAAATTTCAGGGCATGGTTAGACCACCCCTCTTCCTTGGCCACCGGCTGCACCCACACTCTCCAATTGCTCTCCCTTGAGGTGCTCCTCGCCCAGGATTTTTTCTTGACATGTTCCTTTCATTCTCCCTGGGTATTGCATTGACTGCCCTCTGCAGAGAACCCTCCTTGGCCTGTCCCCTGGAGGAAGGTTGTGTTTGCACAAATAACCGTGATAGCGTCTGGTGGCATGGGAGGGGCGGGTGCATTGGGGAGAATCTCCAGAGATTTTTGACCATATAAATGATGGCTACATTAACCTGAAATATCTGCACTTTCTGGATCGAGATGGGGGTCACTGTGATGTTAAAGGACCTGGAAACCAAGCCCTGCAAGAAACAGTTGAGGGAGTTTTGGTAAGTTTAGCTTGCAGATGTGAAGATCTGAGAAGTATTAAGACAGTTATCTTCAGGTGGAGCTAGCTTATTTCCTGCTCCTCTGGAAGGCTGGGACCGAAATCAGTGCATTCAAATTACAGGAAAGGAAATTTGAATGGAACATTTGGACACGCCCCTGTTGACAATAGCTTCTTGACTGTAGAATGGGTTGGCTCGGAAGGTGGTAGATTCTCATTCGCTAGAGATTTTAAACAGATGTTGGATGACTACTTATCAGAGATGTGTTAGCTGTGGATTTGCTGCATGGCTATGGGGTTGCTCTAGATGACCCTTGGGGTCCCTTCAGGCACTACAGGTCTCCTTCTAATCATATTTCTGGGGTATGTGTGAATAATGTATGTCATTTATAATTATTGAACTCTGTGGGCAAGACTTCTTTTAAAACTGCTTTGCTGAGTATCAGACGCCCTGAAGCAGGAGATGGATGAAACCACTTTGTCCCAATGAAATGTTTTGGTTCACTCTCTTGCAGATGGGGTCGAGGTTTTGGCCTGCTTGGCTCTATTTTTGGAAAAGACAGTACAATAAACCAACCGAACAGCGTCTTCGGCCTTGTGTTTTATATACTACAGATGTTACTTGGTAAGTATCAAACTCCACCGGATGCTTTTAATTAACATAGTCCTCTGCACTGAGTATTCGGGGTCAAGCATCCTCTGGGTCAAATATGTCTTTAGTGTCCATTTCAGAGTCTGTATTCATTGCTGCCTTTCCCATTGGTGACCATTCGCCTTTTAGGAATGTAAGGTTGGAGCCAGGGGCTCTCACACACTTCACTTGTGGTAAAGCCTGAAAATCTGCAAACTCCACGATCAGGCAGAGCAATTTTTTTTCACCCCAGGGTGGTGATGATGGTCATACCTTGTTGGAGAGAACAGCCAAGTTCTTAGAGCCCTTGTATTTATAGATTGGACTCAGCAAAATGCACTCCCCAGAAATGATCAGTCATGGACTATAAACCACCATGTGGTACGATTGGTTCTCCCCCTGCCCCCATCCCGTTTTGGGCTCTGGGAGAGGATCCCTGAAAGCCAAAGTATAGCGGTGAGTTGGGGAGGTTGATGGTGGCAACCCTTCCCCACTGCCTGAAAACTCCCCTCTCCAGCAAAGGTTAAAATCTGCTTCTGATGCCCCTAAAACATGGTATGCCTTGGCCAAGCCCCTTGTGAGGTTTTTTTTTTTGTGCTTTCCTTCAACTTTCTCTGCAAAAGATCCCTTTCATCCTAGTCCTCAGTCCTGGCCAGCAAATGGTTTTTCATTTGGTCTCTTGTAATATTAATAATTATATTTTGCCATGGGTTTTCTAGGCATAGTCAGAAGTGGGTTTCCACCCAGTCCCTCCTTCTGGTGGTGCTCTGGGACCTCATGTGGCTTGCCCACAGCTTCACATGTAGCAGAGCATGTCACCCCATCAGCCACACAGCGATCTTGGGCTGTCCACCTCCTGCAAGGCATGGTGGAGACTTGAATTCTTGACCCCTCAGTAGCCAGGCGCTCCAACCTGCTGAGCTATACCAGCAAGGAAGAATGCTCCACAGGCAAGGAACTTCTACAGTTTGAGCAGCAGAAGACACTTGCTCCTTCTCCCTGACCCTGCTCCAGAGGATGTTACGTTACTTTATCTCAGTCTCTGGTTTCTAACCCTTGTGGGCTTGCTTTTACATGTGCATGATGGTGTTTGCTCATCTTCATCCACACCCCCATCCGTCACTGCTTCCCAGCAGTCCTGACTTTCCCTGTTCTCACTGTCTGTATCTGTTCCGCTCTTCCTGCTGTCCTCCTCCAGCGTGTAAGCACCTGGGGCCAGAGACTCGCCTCTGGTTGCTTGTGCTGTCAGAATGCCACAGGAAGATGCTGTGTGAAAGACTTACTCATCTCCTCCTTGTGGGGAAACAGCTGCTGTGCAGCAGCCAGGAGAGCCTGTGTATGTGCCTTTCTCTGCGGGAGTCAGCGTTTCTGTGGCAGCCTCAGCCTGACTGTGTTTCTCCACTGCATGTTGGAGTACCTTCAGAGGCTCTGGATACAGCAAACTGTGTTTTATTACATGAGCCTCGAACATTCTCAAACTAATGGAAGCGGTGTCTTAAGCATGTTGCACACAAGTGCTTCTCGTTGGTGATGGGGGGGGTGAGACAGCAGCAGATGACAAAGCAGATGTCACCGCTCTTCTTCCTCTTCCAGGTATGACAGCGAGTGCAGTGGCGGCGCTAGTCCTCATGATGTCCTCCATTGCATCCGTAATAGGATCCTTATACCTGGCCTACATCCTGTATTTCGTGCTGAAGGAATTCTGCCTTGTCTGCATCCTAATGTACTTGCTGAACTTCATTCTCTTTATCATCAACTACAAACGACTAGTTTACTTGAACGAAGCCTGGAAACGGCAGCTTCCCCCGAAACAGGATTAACTCCCCCATGAACTATTTTTTCATTGACAGTCTTTGAAGACCTGGCTTCCGTTTTAAGATTTATTTCACAGCCAAAAGCAAGCAAACAAGAATGATTATTGTTGTTATTATTATTATTAGTTTTTTAAAAATTCTTCATATCAGATGCTTTCCCCAAGAAAACCATAACTTGATGTCACCATTGCAGTGAATCAAAAGGAAGGGGCCCTTAGGTAAAGTTTCTGATGATAAGCTCCGTCTCTTGAGGAAGCGCCCGAGGAAGTCCCGGAGCCAGGAAAGACAAGCTTTAACTCTACTTAGAAGGAGTTCTGAGTGGTAAACTTTACTCCTTCTCATTTTCTGCACCCGCTGCCCCGTTTGAAGTATGATAACACTTGCTTAGTACATCTCCAGTCTGTCTGTAAATCCAGTTTGGGAAGCTGACTGGGAGATAATGGTTAATTTGTTCCAAACTTTATAGGTACCATATGGAATGGCTGCCATGTTATACACGATTCGCATTTGTAGCTGAGGGGATATGACCCACAGTAGATGCGACAAGAACACTTAGTCCCCCCAACCTTGTATATAACACTCAGAAGAGTGGTGTGCATCCTTGAGAAATGGGAAGCTCGTCACCATTCGGCCAGGTTCGTTTGGGAGTGTTAGTGACCTGAAGAACTGTTTTGTCTTCTCAATGGGAGATTTTATGTTTCGTCTAAAGCTGGTGGAGGGGTGGGAGGGAGGATGAAATGGCCCCTCGCTCTACAGCTAAAGATTTCTTCTCTTGTAAAAAACGTATCTAAATGAAATGGAGTTTGATGCGTCGAGGTGCGTGCATTGCGAAAGAACAGTTTCTGTGCAGTACCAACAAGTAGTCAGCGGAGCTCTTTGACAGAGGTCCAAGATCTTCCTTGAGGACACAAATCCGAGTGTTTGGCGTGGGGGGAAACCGGGGAGGGGTGCGTGGCTGCAGCATGTTGGAGTGGAAGGGCCTCCCTTGGAATCTAGACCATGTGCTGAGTGGCAGAATGGGCCCTGTGCTTGGAACCCCTGTTGGAACAGTCAATGCTAGTATTACAGGAGAGCTCTTATATGTTTCAGGCTGCTGTGTAGAATTACAGCTTCAACACTGGATCTTTGTGACTTAACTGGCAGGCTGATGCACTGGAGAAGCAGAGCTCGGAGGCCGCAGAGCTGTGGTCTTTGAAATGAAGGGAGCCAAGGGCTTCCCCAAAAGGGCATCTCACTGCTCTCTGGGCAGGTCCCCTTCATGCCAAGAGACACTTCCGCAAGAAGACGTTGTCACGGATTGTGCCCGTACAGGCCGAGGAGTTCAGAGCTGCGGTTTACCAAGCGGAGGCTGCCCGGTGGGCTCGCCCAGTCAGGCAGGGCAAAGCGTGGATCGTATGAAAAGAGGGGAAGGAAACGGATGCCGTGGGCTGGGAGTGGATGAGAGGCTGGGATTCTGTTTTGGAATGGGACGCCGCAGCCAAAGGCAGATCACTGTGGTTTTGCCCCCCTCCCCCTTCCACGTGGTTCCAAAATGCAGTGTTCATTAAAAGTGCCTTCTGTCGTACAAACCAAATATTGGGGGTGTCAAAACTCAGCAGGCAGAAGTGTGGTTGCATAGGTAATATTAAATGAAACCTTGGCAGTATAGAGAAGGGGCCGTCTTTCTTCATCCAGGGACTCCTTCAGTGAGTTGGTTCTCGGAGGTGTGCCGTGGGTGGATTGGTGGGTCCTTTACAGGAGGCCAAGGGGCAGTTCAGTGCTTCAGAAGCCTGCCCCTCGTTCTCCAAGCGAAGTCTGCATTACTGGCACATATCTGATGCTCTTCAGCGAGGGCCTTGTGGCTCCTGTGTCTAGTTTCTGCCCCGTTTCTCCTCTCTCGCCTCTCTCCCCCAAAACGCTTCCCCCAACACAGGACTCCTCTGGCGGAGCCCTCCCCACGCCTTGACTTGTGACATGTCACCTCGGTGCTTTGCCTGAGCCTCTGAAGATTGTATTAGCGGTCAGGCTTCACAGCCATACCTGGAGAGAGCTTGATAATAACACTACAGAGTCTCTCGCTGCCACCACCACTGCATGGCTCGCCCTGGCAGGATCAGCAGGGAGGCCGAGCACTTCCAAAGCGGGAGCATAGAGAGAACAGCAGGACTGAAAGACAGTTAGACAAGGGAGCGTTCCCTAGAGTTTCGGTAGCAGCTGTCTTACCGTCATTAAGAGGCTTCTTTGCATGGGTTGACTCTACTGGGGCAGGGGGGTCACCGAGTGATGCAGTCTGTGGGGTTGATCTATGCAGTTCCCATGTTCTAATAACTGTAACAGTTGTGGTGGGGTTGTAGGCAGTGTGGGACCATGGTTTGCGCCCAGCATTCTGTGCAAAAGACATACAGGTCAGTTCTCACATCGTATGAGACAGCACTTCTTGGGTCAGCGCTGAATGTATTTAACCATTTTTTTAAAAAAAAAATTCCCCAAGTGTGTTGATGCCAAAATCTGAAGCAGACCCCACTGTCAGGGCAGGGCTTCCTCTCACCCTGATTCCCTGACAAGACTACCCTTCCTGGAAGTTTTGTCCTAAAAGTTTTGTTCCGTTCTGTGTCTAGATAACCTTTTTCTCTTTGTGAGTCCATGTAAGAGATCCTCATTTTTGGTGTGCTCTTATTGAAAAAAAGAAAAGAAAAGAAAAAACAGCCTCAAGGTATTAATGAAATTCTCTTGTGTTTTGTAACAGTGCAGTGTGTTCTCAGCAGAAAAACGGACTTCTTCCAGTATTTCAGTGCCTGCCAAATGATCAGTCCAGTTATTTTATGTCTGGTTGGAATAGAACACAAGAGAGGTAGAGGAGGAAACTTAAATATGAGTACTCTTTTCTTTCTCTCTTTCTATATATATATGTGTGTGTGTGTATAAAAATCCCTTAAAAATTGCTTGTTGTCCTTGTCAAAAAGAATTTCTCAAAATACATCTTGTGTCGGCTGGAGTACAGTTAAAACTTGTTCTGAATTTTGAAATTAGAGGTATTTGCGGGGGGCGGTGTGTAGAACCTTAGTAACATTTAATGGGAGGATTTCCAGATTTAGCTCTCTTTCTCTCTGACAGATTTTTTTAAACTATTAAAAGTTTCACATAACTGTTAAATGCAAGGATTTATTTATTTTTGTACGTATCTGAGGGCAAGATGAGACTTTGTTGTTCTTTAACTTGAATCTCTGATGGGGGGCACCTTTGTTACCCCTGTCAACAGAAGGGGGGGGCTTTTGCCTCAGCCTTGAACTTTTCTCACTGGGTTCCAATTTTGGAGGAGGGGAGTCAGTCCCTCCCCAGTCCCCTGGGTTGTAACTGCCCGATCCAGCCCCCTTTTGTCTTGAGCAGCCAACCAGAATAACAAAGATAGGCTTCATCCCCCCCACCCCCCTCTGTTCAAAACCAGAATTATTTCTGAAAAGTAAATGCTGGTCATTTGCAGTATTTAATTTTTTTTCCCCCTCAGCATCTCTACACAAGAGATACACATGTCCTTGTGGCTTTGGCTATGTTTAGCCATTCTCCTTGTCTTGCATTCTTTAGGTCTAAGGAACAGGCTGTTGCATTGAAGTATCCCTCCTTCTGCCTGGTAGCTGCCTGCCTCGCCCCCAGTAGAGCCGCTCCTCTCTAAGGAGCCCCGCTATTCTGCTGGGGGTAGGAGACGTGTGTCGTCCCCTCCCCGATCTTCCCTGTCCAACACAGCAGGGGCGGGGAGGGAGAGGAAGGATAGAGACAGCTGTTGGAGGAACATCTGTCTCCCTCCCCTCCCCTTCCCTCCCCTCCCCAAGGGGGTGTTCTTGCTAAACAGTAATGAGATATGGCCCTTGGTTTACGGCTTTGCAGTTGCCCTCCCATGTGGAGACCCATGCTTGTTCCCCGTCCTCATTGATCTCTCAGCCATGAGGTCTAGCACCATGAGGAAACCATTGAAGGTGAGTATATGAAGGAATAACATCCCCTCCCCATCCCTATGCAGTGGGGTGGTAGGTGAAGCTTATAGGGCCTGTTGCTCTCCTCCCCCTTGCTTTCCTCTCTCTCTCTCTCTCTCTCTCTTGCAAAGTTTACCTGCAGGGCGGCTGGGTCTCTTCACAGCCAAGACCACACCTGCTCGGATCTCCTCTTCTGCGTGGCCATTAAAAGATCCCAGAGGCTGTGATCCTGCATTACTTCTCCCCAAGCAGCCTCTCCTTTTGTGTCAGTGAGAGGAAGCTCAGGTTAATACCAGCTTTGCAACTGGAGCCTGGCCAGTCTTATCTTTCCTTCTCCCCTTCCTCTTTTCTCTTTGGCTTTGCTCATTGTTTTTTACGGGCCTCCCAGAGCCAGTGGGGATATATGTTGCCAGCGAGGTGGCCCTGGCCCAGCTGGTGGCTCGGGCATTGTCTTTTTTCCAGGGGACTTCTTAAGACTGCAAGAGAATGTTGGGGCTGATGCTAACATCTGTGAGATTAAGTTACAGGCAGGAGGAAGGCAGGCAGGTCTTTCCCCTTCCTCTGCACCTGGTGAAGGAATCTTATTTTGATTTCTCCACTGAACCGGTTGGAAGGTCATGTTTTATACCACGGTTGACATCTATGCTGGTGGTCAGGGAGCCAGAAGGTCAATCTTTCAAGGAGATATGGGGGAAATGCTTCCACAATGAAGCTGCTTCACAAAATCTCACCAGTAAGTCAGAGGAACCATTTGAAAAATACTATATTTTGCTGCTGGATTTAGATCTTTGATAACCAGGCTAAGTTTTCTTCAGGTTAGGGGCTTGTGATATGTGTGGATGACACTGAGAATTGAAACCAGATTAAAGCCATTGCTTGGGGTTCTGCCCGTACTGTTTAAACCCGGCGAAGCCAAACCCGAAGCAAGTGAAGTATTCCGTTACCATTAAAACAAATCTGTATTAAGCATGGCCTGAATATATTTGGTGTGTGTTCTGTCTCGTATGTTTGACCTGGCAAGTTTTTTTTGATGTGCTTCAAACTCCAGACCCACCCAGGTCTCGGACGGGAGTCATTCCATTTTTGTTTGGACCATAAGACTGCGACATTCAGAGGTCTAGAACCCAAATTTTTCCTAACGGGGGGAGGGAATTCAAAAACAAAACTGTGTAAATAATGTAAGAATGTTTATTTGTTGCACATAAAAAAACTTTTTTGGTATAAAAATAAATGTAGAAATTACCTGTGGATGTCTTTGCAGTGTGCTTTGTAACCGGTTTGCATCCTGACACCACCGAGAGACCCTTGAATCGCCTGGTCTTTCAGCTACCCAATTGTGGTTGGATGGAAGTGAGTCTCATTCATACTTTACTTCTTGAAAGAGTGTTAAAAGTGGCTGGTCCTGAATGCTAAACAAGGGGACAGAGATGGCGCCTGTGTTGAAGCAGACAGATTTCCAGGCAGTGAAGACGGAAACGATAAAAGGCTGTCATGATGCAGAACATAACATGGCTCTCTTACACCCGCTGGCACTCCAGGACTGTAGATCCCACATAGAGAATGCAGGCAGCACGGTCTTTACGAGTCCTGACTGACTGGCTAAGGCTGGGGAGACCCAGGTTCGAATCCCCACTTAACCTAGGACTTCAGACTGGTCACTGTGTCAGCGTAACCTGCCTCACAAAATACTGGCAGGGTGATAAAAAAAGGGAAGAAAGCTTGTTGATTTCTTTATACTCCTGAGAGGGTATCAAAGGAATCCAGTGATAACAAAGCCCTTTGGTCTGGAGACGGTTTCTGTGGTCAAAGAAATAATCCTAACTTGATGGGAGAGTGTTTTGTTTGTAAATAGAACTAGTTTTAAAGAGGGGTGGGTGGGGAACACCTTGTGTTCTTATTTAAGGCAATGGAAATGTGCAGCCCAGTAAATGATCTCAGGAAAGTCACTTCCTTGGTAGGAGGGGTTGGGTGTCTTTTCCTATAAGGCAGCTGCTACAGACAAGGGTTTTCTTTCTTAAATGGCTTTAGGCTTAGAGGAAGGGTCTCTGAGACCTTCCATTTAGACCCATCTTCCTACAATGGAAGTCCTTCCCTGCTCTGTGTGCGTTCAGCCGGCAGGCAAAAGGGTTTGGCAAAGCACCTTGTGGCTCCTGTATACACCCGGAGGGAGGGAGAGAGGAATCCTGGTGGGACAGATTTCCCTGTACACATAGAGCTCTTAGCAGTCCCACTGGGTGCAATGAGAGCAAGGGGCCTCCACCACTTACTGAGGTGGGGTCAGTAAGGAGGCACCATGTGGACCCCTCCCCAGGTTCTTTCCGAGTGTGTCTTTCTTTTTGGCTGCAAATAGGAGGGAGGGAGGGGGAGAGAACTGCATGCATCTGAGGTTTGTTCTTCTTTTTCAGAAACTGGGCTTTGTCAAAGTCTGTGATGCAGGGGTCCTTTGTAGAAGAATGACGTGTACTGGGGAATCGATTCCATGATTCCGATGATGGTTTTGAAAAGTTATTTGGGGTTTGGGTGCAAACGTTGGCAACTGGAAACATTCCAGCCAAGAGTGCGAGACTTCAGATGTTGAAATCAGCTTCAAAGAAGTTCTTGGCAGCCACGTTCCCGTGGTGGGCAGCTTCAGTGGCCATAAGTCAGGGCTGGCAGATTCAGCTTAAAGGTCTTCATGCCACTCACTGAGTCATAGAGGAGGTATTAGAACTGGGGAGGAGACGATTACAGGAAGACACTACAGTATATAACATGTCTTCCTAGGTGAGACAGCATGGCAGTTTGAGGAATGAGAAAGGGCTGGATTGAGCGCCAGGGCATCTAGTTGCTAACCTGGTACAAATGAATGTGTTTGTGAAGGCTTTATGGAAATTAACAGATAAACTTGTCCATATAACTAAAGCTCTTTTGGATGCTTGAAAGTCAAGAGTGTGGTTCGGTTGTCAGCTCCTCATGTACACCCTGCTTGGCAGTTTTTGGGTGCAAATATCCAAACCAGATTTGTTCCTTGTGCGGCTCATCCTAGAAAATTAATCTACGCCTGGGTGCAATCTCAATAGTCTTCCCTGATTTTAAAGCTCTTCTTTGGCCCCGGGGGGGGGGGGGGGAGAAACTGCAGGGTTTCAAAACAAGGAGTTCATCAAGTTTGCTTGAAGACCTGAGCTGCAGGCAGGCAGACGTTGTCGTATTTGGGGGATGCCAAGCAGCTCGATTCATTAGCCAGCTTCCAATATCTCTCCCTCAGAAGGAAGGCGGCGGATTTGGGTTGCCGTTGACGGGTGAAAATTCCTTTCTTGTTACCCAAAACGCGCGTGACAGCTGGAAACGAGAAGGGGAACAACCAAGCAGAGTTATGCTAAGCATCGAGCATAAACAGCATTCCTGACAGAATTAAGAGACAGAGCAGATCCCGGACAGCTACATTGGATGCGTTTGGTAAGCAGGAACTTGTTCCATTACCCCAGAGGTAATTAACTAGTGTAACTAACCCCAGTAATTCCACAATATTGATTGCTATCCAGCCTCTCCAAAGTTCATGATCAGTGTTCATAACACTGGTCTCATTTCCTGCATCTCATTTCATTCTGTCCCCATTCTAGGACCAGAATCGGTATGCATAAGACCCTGTATCTTATGCATACTGATTCTGTATTCATAAGAATATAAGAATGTGCTTTGGGCACTGGACAGGTGGATTGTAAACCACAAGAGTTCACGCCAAATCTGTTTAGTCTTGAAGGTGCGACGAGACTCTTTGTTAATGAACTGGTATTTGGCCTTTTTCTCTGGTTTCAAAAGATCAGGTGTCAATTATATGGACCTCAGACATTTAGTGAAGATCAGAAAACAGCTAAGAACGGTCTGTTGCATAAGACAACCTAGAGTAACAGTGTAGAAGGTTTGGAAAAATAAGTTTTGTTTTCCATACAGAATTAAGATTGTGATTCAGCAAACCTAAGTGCATTTCATTAAACAGGACCAACTATATATTTATTGAGCTCTGAAATTAGAAGGGACTTAAAGCAATCTTAATTTTACCCAATTCTTCCCAGATTTAGACAGGATAGAGAGTTCGGATCTAGTGCATCCATACCTTCCCCTGTCATAAAATCAGCAAAATTCCAAATCAGCTCTCCAATCACATATTCTGTCCTCTTTCGGTCTAAGACGGCGTGATATTGCTTCAGCATGGCTGACTGGTATTCCTCTGAGAACATGAGAGGAGGGTCCTATGGATATTGGGGAAGAAAAAGAAGCATGTGTGGAAACTTTTCTCTTAAGAATCTGTAACGATGTAGTGAGGGTTTAGGAAAGCTGGTCCGCAGAGATAGTCTTCTCATATCCGTGGGGGATCAATTCCAACCACACACCCCACACCCAACGGATGCTGGAAAATGTGGATTATAGGAAACACTTAAATAGTGAATGCTGTACATAGTGTGGCCTTTGGCTCCCTCTAGTGGCCAGTTCTAGTAAATTCACAGTTGAAAATATATATTTCTAGGGTTTATTTTTCTTTGAATCCTTTTAATATTTTCATACAATGGATAAGTGAATCAGTCGATACTGATCCTGCAGATACTGGGACCCTACTGTACACATGTACAGTAACAAGTATAAGGAGAGTGTAAAGAAACAAGGATGTTTAGGGCCATAAATGAGTAATTTAACTCGGTATTCCTTTGAAGCTCTTTTCTCAGGATATATCCTAACGGAAAATATTCCTTTGCATATCTGATTGTCTTTCTAAGTGATACATTTTGTTTTCTTTCCTCTGGAAGACATCTGGGTTTATCACTTTGTGGGTTTTATGATCATGTTTGCTAGAGGCAGGGACGTAGGTGTCTTTACAATGGTCGCATCCCAGAATGCACTGGGAAATACACTGATAGTAGCACCGTTTACTCTGCTATAATATAGAGCAGCCGTTCTCAGTGGGCACCCAATGGCTCCATGGGGGACCCTGGCACATTTGAAGGGGGGCATTCTCAAAGGGCACCCCATGGATCCATGGGGGTCCCTGGCACATTTGAAGGGGGGCTACAGGCTGGAAACAGTTCTTCACATACTACCTTACGAGGTTTATTATGTGATTTATACAATCTTGATTTGGCCTGTCCTTCTTTCATATTCCGTTTATGGCCGTGACCCAACATAGGTTGAGAACGGCTGCAACGGAGCATAAGGAAATACACCGGCTATGCATTTATGCAATTGCTAATTCTAACATACATGGTTCTGTTTCCAGTTGCAGTGAGGAGGGATGTCCTCACGTGCAGGATCAAAACTGCCTCCAGTCCAAGCCCTTATGGGATAAGCCAGCACGGTGAAAGCGCCAGATGTGGGAAACCTGTTCATAAAATCCCACAGTTGGAAGGCACTCTATGAGGGTCCCTTTCATCCTACTCCTGCTCAACACAAAGGCGATGTGGGAGTGCCCTCTTGTGGAGTAGTGAGACATGACGTGAGCCCATCCGGCCGTACAGAGAGAAAGCTCCCTTCTTGGTGATCGGCCATTTATCTTTCCAAACAAAGGCGAACCCCTCATACAGGACAGCCTCCCGAAACACCTGGACTCACAGAATGGAGACCAGCGATGGTGTCCGCTCCATATTCGCTCTGGATGATGGGTTTCTGGTGAGTCTTGTACCAGTTCTCAAACTGGGCGTTGAGCTGCAGTTGGATCACTTCCAGATGCCCGGGGTCATGGTACCAGGAGAAGTAGCTGTTCACGCAGATGACGTCCACATAAGGTGCCTAAGGAACGGCAAAGTTAGTTCAGGTGACTTGGGAATGGCGCGAGGGCAGTTATCTGCTGTTCTGAATTGGTTGTTGTGGTTCCATGACCTGCTTTGAGCATGTATGTTTTCATTGAAGGGAAGAACAAAGACACTGTTAATAAATAAATGCCTGTCTCACCACCATGACCACCACCTGCAGCTGGGGCAAGGAGACAGGAGAAGCTGCTGGGAACCTCCTTTGTTTGACAGACAAAAGGATTCTTTGACCCCAAAACTCACAAGGCTGTCGGAGGAGAGGACTCGGCAACCTGTGGTGCTTAGCTTCGTTTCAAAAGTCTGCTGCACCTTAACTGACCTTGCAGCCTCCTAGATGATGGATGTATTCTCCAACCCACCTGGAAACCTGTTGGTTTCTGTTCCCAGAAAGACAGGTCAGTAAAATGTCTTGGGTGGGCCCTCCATCATCCCCAAAATCATCATTATGAATATGGTCCCTGATGGACAGCGCAGGATCGAGCCGTGTGCTGCTTGGTTCGGCCATCCGAGTTGCTGAACATTATTACAGGAAGGACCTGGAACCAGACTGCATTCTAAAACGTCACATTCAAGGAGAGGGGCCAAAGGGAAGAACGCTTACCCCTTGATCACGGTCGTACTTGGCGTTGGAGACGAATGTGACAGGCCGGGTGGGGTCCAGCGCTTTGGTGTGAGCGATCACGGTCCTGCAGGTTAAAAAGGAAAAAACACACCATGATTTCTTACAGAAAGAATGCATCAAAGCATCTCTTTTCCTGCAGCTCGCAAGCTCCATTTGAAACCTCCACCTTGGAATCTCGTATATATTGAATTATCCCACCTTTCCACCGGAAACGGCATGCAAAGCGACTTAGGAAGGCGCATCCAGTTTTTGCACCCAGGTAGAGCAGACACCAGCTGCTTGGTATGTAATGGGAATGGCTAATGCCTACCCTTCATAGGGTTCTGTGGTCTTGGAGGGAGGGTGTTCTAGCTGCCCGCCTCCGCCCCAGAGAGTTGATGCTGATGCTGCCAAATCTCAGGCGGCCAATCCAGCGGTGCCGACCATGTTTCAGTAGTGCAGTCCACGGTTGAGTTTCAGAGCAATTCAACCAGTCCCACTATTGACCCTGTGGAGTTGGCCACTTCTGGTCATCACACCCTCCCCTTCAGTTCACGCGGCTGCTGTTCATACACCCGCAACCCATTTCCCTCTGCCCGGCAGGCCCTCACTTGAAGTAGTAAGCAGCTGGGGGCAGCTCCGAGGCTGGTTCGTTGGCCACTGACCACATGACGACTGAGGGGTGGTTTTTGTCCCGGCGGATCAGTTCCTCCATCACGACAAGGTGGTGCTGGAGAGATTTGTTCCCAAAGTTGATGCTTAAAAAGACAAGCACCGTGACACGGGTGTTAAAGATTTCCTCTCCTCTCTGCAGAATGATAAGCAGTGTCTCTGCTTGCCTTCCTTTCTCCACTTGCTCTCCCCTCCCTTTTAAAACCGCCTCTCCTTCCCTTTGCTCTTTTAGACCTAACCTGGCCCACAGACGGCACCCATCTGGCCTGCCAAGGTCTCACAGGAGGGCTTCCTCCGATTCCCTGGAATAGGAACTATTTCCCCTTTAGGTCTAGATCACAGAGCTGCAACCCTTTTGGAAACCAGCACCCACCTTACAAGTCAAATAAGAGCCAATTTTAGTTTCCTAACCTAGTTTCTCGCCCTCTCGTCCTTTTTAAGATTTGACGTTGTGCAACGGTTCTCGGTTTGGGGATCTGGCGCTCCAGTGCTGTTTCCACAGATGGGAATTTCCTGCTTTATGGGTACCACCTTCGCTCCGTGCCCCCTGCCCTGAGCGATAGGACACGTACAGAATTCACTCTGGGGATACCAGCCTAAAGTGATACCCAATACACTGACCCCAAGGAGATTTCCCTCACTGCAACTTTGAAATACAACCATGCACATTAGAATTTAGCAGCTTTATAAATAGAGTGGTGCCTCGCTTAACGAGCGCACCGTTTAACGACGAATCCGCATAGTGACGTGTTTTTTGTGATCACTAATGCGATCGCATTGCGATGTTTTAGATAGGGAAAACATTGCAGTGCGATGATTGGTAAGCGTTTCGCTTACCGATCTTCGCATTGCGATGTTTTACAAACAGCTGATCGGCGGTTCCAAAATGGCTGCCGGGTCAACAAAATGGCCACCCGCAGCATTTTTGCGCCCTGCCCTCGCTTACCGGGTGGTGAAAATGGCGGCTGGATGGAGGATTCCCCGCATAGCGGTGAGTTTTCCCCCAACAGGAACGCATTAAACGGAGTTTAATGCATTCCTATGGGTTCGCCCCGCATAGTGACGAATCCGGATAGCTACGTTAATCCTGGAACGGATTAACGTCGCTATGCGGGGCACCACTGTATATAGTCAATTTATTTTCATATGCCCAGAATACAGTGCCCCTCAATAAACCATGGGAAAACCAGCACTGTCTGAAATACAGGGCACTAGACCTTCTCTGTTTTTAGCAAAAGTACCATAAAACAGTAAAAGCCAGGCTTCTTCCTAAGGAATTTCAAAGGTACGTCCTGGGAAAGAAAGCCCAAAGGAATGCCAATTTAAATTGCACATTTTATGGCCCTTTGTGCATTTCTTACATATAGCCATGTACTCCTCTTTGCTTTGGCAGACCATCTTTACACGTCGTGTATACGGCTTTCTCTGCTGGCCAGCAGGAATAAATGTTACAAATTCTTAAGTGAAAAGTTCTCCACCGTCTCCTCCCCAAAATTGGGTCCAGCAAACTGGGTAGCTCCTTTAAAGTTCGTACTAAAATCCAGAGCAAAGCTACTGGCCGGGCAGACCCTGGAGATGCCAGCCTCCCTTGCCCCCAAGGTCCAACCCTGGCTTACCAAACCCTATAGCCTCTATTTTCAGAGCAAGCTCCTTAAGTCAGGAGAAACATCTCTCTGCCCTATGGATAGCAAAGATCTTAGAGGTTGGCCCTTTCCCAGTTGGTAACAGACAGACCACTCTTGACAAGATCCATCTAGGAAGCCCAGACTGTGCACCGATCCACTCACCTGTCTCTCATGCCCACTGCTGGGCATTCACTGATTACAACGATGCCGTAGGCGTCGCAAAGTTCAAGGATCTCCTCCGCATATGGGTAGTGGCTGGTGCGAAAGGAATTGGCCCCCAGCCAGTGCAAGAGGTTGAAATCTTTGACAATCAGGGGCCAGTCCAGCCCTTTGCCACGGATCTGTCCAGGAGGAGAATTCAGTGAACCCATGTTCCAGCCGGAGTCCAAGGCTCAGGGTTTTTAAGCTGAGTGCTGATTCCCTTTCACAATGAAATGAGGTTAGGCGTGGTGTTTTTTTTTTGCCTTCCTCCAAGACTCAGCTTAGTAGACGTGCGTCTCTGCCTGACCTTGTAGAATGGGGGGAAAGAGAACTCTCCCTACAAAAGTTACAAATCAGTGATGGTTCATCCACGGGGAAAAGGAATTTTGGATGGTCAGACGGAAGCCCCGGAAGACGACAGTCGGATCCAAGATTGACATTGCCCACCCGGACTTAAAATAAAGCAAAAAGTGACCTGGAGGTTTTGCTTGGAAGGCCTTAAAAGCAAAGACCTCACCAATGGGGTGCCTCTCCTTCCCCGTTTTTAAACATCCAAGTTGATGATTCTCCGGGCAAGGGATAGAGGGATTTCCAAGGAACACCAGGTGCAACGGCACAAAGGCCCAACCTAGAGGTTCCAAAGCAAAAAAGGCCGTCTTTACTCACGTCAGCATCTTCGTGTTTGTTCACCCCGTGGAAGTAGAATGGCTTTCCGTTGATGAGGAACTGATTGCGGGTAACAGCAACGGTGCGGAAGCCCACGGGCTGAGTGTAGCTGTCTTGAAGGATCTCCCCATCCACCTCAGCAGAGAGAGACACCTGTGTTCCCCCAAAAAGCCAAGCTCCGAATCAGGTTTCTGAAACACCTCTGTCCATATGCAAAGTGTCCTTTCTGCAAGGCTGGCCACTGGCCTCTCCTAGATCATCCCCCCCCAAACCCAGAAAGCTGCCCTGAAAGCAAGAGTTAGGTACTAAGATAATCTTGCACCTTATATATATTATGAACATTTAATCCAATTTGTGCAGATTTCCAGAGATGGTGCTTGTGCAAAACTCTGCCCTGGGGACCACCCTTTCTGGATCTGCGGGTCCCCTCCTGACCCCCCAGCACTCCTGATTGCTGGAAACCACATGCCCAGGGTTTTCCTCCCTGAATGACCCTATATTTGCAAGACTTTGTAGCCTTAAGGACTAGTGACTTAACTGATCTTTAAAACTCAAAAGAAGCACAAGCTGGGATCTGCAGGTGTCTGTGCCCAGAAACAGCCTGATAACTAATGTGCTCTGCTGGTGTGTGTGTGTGTGTGTTATTTTGTCCACTGACAAGACGGATATGTGCTAAAACAAATGCAGTACAAAGTATTAAAAATGCCTGTGTGTCCAGTAACGAGTGGAAAATAATCAAGGCCACGTAAGAAGTCTCCAGAAAAAGAAGCCCAAAAATGTGGGCCACAAAATTAACAAAGTCATGGTCACATATATGGGAAGGTAATATTAAGCTAACAAAAGCAATTAATTACAAAGAAAATATATATAAGATGTTTTATAGATGGTATATGACACCTGAAAAATGATGGAAAATATATCCAAGTCTCTAACAAATGTTGGAAATGCAAATCAAAGATAGATTTTATTATATGTGGAAGTTAAGAGCTTTTGGAAACTAGTCCATGAGATTTTACAAAAAAAGGCTATCCTCTAGGATTCCATAGGAACCTGAACTGTTTCCGTTGAATATAATACCAGATTTGATAGAAAAAGAAAAAAGATAAAATGTGTAACTACAGCATCAAGAATTTTATATGCCAAATACTTTAAAAAAAGAGGAGACTCCAACGATACAGGAGTTAATAGAAAAAATTCTTGAAGAAGCAGAGATGGATATTTTAAATTATCCCCTTTTTTCCGCTTCCCTTTTGCTGTCAGGTAAGTAAGACACCTACAGTGGGGTCTTGACTTAAGAACGGCTCGAGTTAAGAACATTTTGACTTAAGAACCACTCTCATAGGAAAATATTGACTTGACTTACATACTTAGATTTGAGTTAAGAACTAAAAAATGCTTCCCTTTTGCTGTCATGTAAGTAAGACACCTACTTCAGATGTTGCGGGCAGATGAACCGGGGGTTCAGAGGACGTCAAAAGTTTACAGGGAAAAAAGTGAGATAGAAATGGAATCTCTTGTGCGGGCAGACGAACCGGGGGTTCGGAGGACGTCAAAAGTTTACAGAGAAAAAAGTGAGATAGAAATGGAATCTCTTGTTTACTCCCTGGCCCCCTCCCTTTTTTTTTTGTTCCCAGCAGGGCTGGCACCAAATGGACATACGTTACCTTCAAGGAATAAAGGTACCCTGGACGCTCATGCGTGAGATATGGCCACCAAAGAATAGGATTTGGCACTTTGAGGACACCGGCCAATCCGTCTCCGGTGGCGGCCACGGCACCATCTCCATCGCATAAAGTGACGGTCAAGGTGTAGTGAGTGCTTCCTCGGATCGATACCAAATACTGCAGCAAGCCTGTTGCCAAGAAAACCACAAACCAGAACAAAACTCATGTTTCGGGTGAAGTTTTGGGAGGAGGAGGTCCCGTCTCCTCTTTTGTCAAGCTAAGGGCTCTTAAATACTAAAGAAACAGCTGTGAATTGGACATCCTTAATTCAGCATCTTCCTCCATTCCAAACTCTCTGGGCATCCTAAAGCATTGTGCTCTTCCATCACCATTTTCCCCTCATCCTGCACTACGTGTCAGGGTTGTTGGTAAAGACTTTGAGATCACTTAGGATTTTTTGATCTGTGTATCAGTTCTTCCGAACAGAATCACTTCTGTTTGTAACCCGCAACCCTGCCGTTTCTTCCAGAACCGTCATCGTTCAAAGAACTGCTGACTGTACCAATCAGATGAAGATTAATTAAGTCTGCATTTTTTAAAAAAATAGTTGACTAACTGGGTGAGAATGAACTAGATCTGCATAACTCTGCATAGGTTTGCAGATGGCTCAGCTCCTTGCCTTAAAAGAAAAACCACACTTTGTTTTTAGGCAGCTCAGTGTTTGCCATCCAAATATTTATAAGACAGAGTTAAAAATACAGCAAGACCCCTGTATTTGCAGGAGGTAAGTTCTAAGGCCTGCCACAGATGCTGAAAAAAGTGGATAATAGAGAACACTTTATACAGCATAGTATGTGGCTCCCTCTCGTGGCCAGTTTGGTAACTTCAGCTCTCAAAATAGATATTTCTAAGATTTTTCTTTGAATATTTTTCTATTTTCAGACTGGATAGGCGAATCAGTGGATACTGATCCCGTGGATAAGGGGTCTTACTGTACACAGCACAGAATGGATGCTATTTGATGGATCAGAGATTATTTTTCTTAAATTAAAAAGGCTTTCTAACGAAGAGGATTAAAAATGTGCATGTCGATCATACCTCTGAAGGCCGGGGAAGTGCGTCAGGATCTCTGAAGCGCACCCGGCTTGCCCCCTACCTTGGCTACTTACCGACATTTCCCATCAAGTCTGTGGTCACCGTGATGTCATCAATGTAGGCGGTGGGGGTTGTGTAAAGCAGAACAGGGCGATGGAGGCCGGCGTAGTTGAAAAAATCAAACTTCGTGTTTTGGACAAAGTAGCCTTTGGGATACCTGTGGGAAGAGGGTAGAAGAGGAGCAAGAACACCTGAAATGAGGGACAGCACCCCAAACTTGGGATCACAGAGAGCCAGACAGAGACAACTCGAGCCGATGCCCAGCCAGCAGCAGGAAGAGTTTGCAGGCAGTCATCCTGGTGATCTCAACAGCCAGGTGCTAAAGGAGGGCTTGCCAAGGTCAAGTGCTCTGCAGATTCCTATCCACAAACCAATTCTAGCCATTCCCATCTCCACCAGGAGGGGGATCTTTTCTAGGGCAAATGGCTCTTGATTGCCGATTCAAATCCAAAGTGCCACTGAGTCCATTTCTTTGTAAGAGGGATCCCTCCTCAAATACAAGCGCTGCGCTTATTCACCCACTGCACCTCGCAACAAAACCTACCATGAGGATCGTCCCAAAGGACCAACAGCAAAGCTGAGTGGCAGTGGGGTGGGCTGTTCTTGCGGCTCAAATCATCCCAAAGGCTAGCCAGGAACCCAAATCAGGGAAACATCCAAGAATACCATCAGCATCCAGCAACCCAGGACTTAAACAACTTCCCTGATGTAAGCATGCACTGCCAGCAGGATCGTGGCCGATACACACAAGAAGGAGAAGGGAAAACCACACTCAATGGGCTAGAGTTAAAGGAAAATGGGAACAGAGCCTTCAGAGCAAAATCCTTCACCTCTTCTGGGAAGGGTATTCCAGAATCTTTGTCTAGAAGTCGCTGGCTTGCCCAGTGGGAAGAGCGTGGACCAAGGACCTCCCATGGGGTGCAACCTGGAACTCACATGGACTCATCCTTCAAATACTCAATGGTCCCTGGAGGCAGCGTGTAGGGCGTCAGCGTGTTGTTGACGGCGACGGTGATGCGGCAGGGTTCGCCTGCGGTGCCGAGGAGGAAGCGGCCGACTTCGGCTTCGAAGGGAAGGTGTCCGCCCTCGTGCTCGGTGACTTGCGCCCCGTTGACCCACTGGAAGGGAAGACGCCAGAGAGAGAAAAGGTAAGGAAGCAGCAGGCGCTGACCACTCCAGTTCCATGGGGGCGGTGATCCCGCTCCGGAATTTAGCCAGAAGGAGGTGTCCATGGTGCTGAATCTATTTTGGAAGCAAAGCTCAGCACCTCGGAGAAAGAACCCCTGGGAACTTTGGACGTTCACAGCCTAAAGAAGGTTCATCATCCGGGCAAAACTGGAGTCTTTAAGCCTCCTGGGGAGGGGAAAGAACAGGGCAGCAAAGGGTGAGGAAGATGGGAGTTGTAGTTGGAAGCATCTAGAGGATCAGTGTACCCCACTTTTACATGCCCGGAGCTCTATTTCAGAGCTCAGCATCCCCAACTCTGTTGCAGTTGAGTGACAGAGAGAGAGACCCGTATCTCTTTTACTCACCACAATAGAATAATAATGCGCGCTGCCAATTCGGAGCACCACCCGGGTCCGAGCGTCCGGCAGGAGCCACCGAGCAGGGACAAGCACCTCCTTCTCGTACCAAACCCAGCCGATATACCCCCGCAGGTCTAGATCCTGTGTGATCTCATTAAAGCTGGAGGGGACGGGCATGTCAATCACAGGCCCAGACTGGAAGGATAAGGGAGACAGACGTCAGGCCATTTCTGGAGGGAGGGAGGGAGGAAGGATGGAAGGGGAAGGAAGGAAGGAATGTCAGGCCATTTCTGGAGGGAGGAAGGATGGAAGGGGAAGGAAGGAAGGAAAATACATAGACGGACAGACGGTCTGCTGTACTGTATCTGTCGGATCAGTACTAATGGTTTCACTTGTCCACTGCCTGAAAATATTAAACAATACCACTCCAGAAATACATAATTCCAACAACCCACTAGAGGGAACTAGAGACTATGATGTATACAAGGTTAGGCTAAGCTAGAAAAGAAAAATATGACTTTTACCAGACTAGTGGCCGTTTTTAACTTTATGAACTCAGGGTTTGTCAGGGAAAGATGTGAGAATTTTCCCCTTACGGAGAGCAAGATATTCATCAGCTTCCCAGATAAATTTTCCAGAAACAATTTGCCCCGTGGATCACAAGACTCTGTCTTGCCCTGACATATCTTCTGCCTGATTCACAGACCTTTCCGGCTTCATGGGGAAGTAAAATTATCTCAATTTTGCACTTGAGTCAAAAGGAAAGATTAAGCCACTTTCTGGCCCATTTTAACTTCCCCTTTCCATTAGAGCCAAAAGAGGAACCAGCCAGAAGGTGTGCGAACCCTGTTTTATTTATTATTCTTATTCTTTCATACTTATTGCATTTTAGACCCTGCTGTTTCATTATAAAATAACACACAAGGCCACTTGCAAACTTTTCAAAGAATAACGGATAAATTCACAGCACCCTATTAGGTGTCCCAAAGATCCTATCGCACTTGTTTGCAACTTCATGGACGATGGATTTCTGAACAGCAGATGAAGGCCGATAAATAAACAGAAGATCTGTGTTTATTTAGTAACTTGGACAGCCTGCTGTGTTCTGCATTTCAGCTGCAACTGGCCCGCTTCCCCCCCCCCCAAGCACGTGAAGAACCCGGTGGGCCTGGAAATCCACTAGGCTGAGCATCGGCAGAAGGGGCCCCCTGAGGGTTTGGTGCAAAGGAAATCCTAATTTCCGGGGTGCGGGCATGCCAAAACACACGGGCAGTCCCTGGGCCGCTATTTTCATTTATCCGTTTTGTTTATTTGGTGGTTTGGAAGGGGAAGAAAAAAGAACAACACAACAGTGTGAGTCTGTTTTACGCGGATGTAACGAAAGCCAAACTCGAAGCCTTGGGGTTCCTTGAAGACGAATGCGGGGGGCGGGGGAGAGAGATTTTTCAGCCATAAAACACTATGTTCCCCTAAATTTCCCTGACCCGGGGGATTATAGGCCATGTAGTCCTTCCAAACTGTCACCCTCCCAGAGGAGATTTTGGGCGCTGTAGTTCCCCCCACTCACCCAGAGTTCCAAGACCGGGTGCGTTTGTGCCATGGGCATGGTAGTCTCCCGACCTTCCAGGGGAATCTGGGCATTGTAGTCCTCCCCCACCCCCTACCCCAATGCTTCGGGACGGATCGGGGGAGCAGCCCATCCGATCCGACCCGACCTTCCTTCCCTGCCGCCGGGGTGGGGGGCTCTCACCTGCCGGAGGGGCCGGGCGAACCATCGCTCCTGGAAGCCGGCTTGCCTGCCCGGGGACCAGTCGGCTCGGAAGCGCCAGAGGCCGCCCAACTCCTGCAGCTCCCGGGAGGGCGAGGCCCGCGGGAAGAGCAGCCCTCCGGCCGGCCGCCCCGCCAGCGCCGTTGCCAGAAGCGCCGCCGCCGCCAGCAGCCACGCCATGCCTCTCTCTCTCCCGGGGAGGACGAGTCGGTGGGGGGGCGGTCAGCTGACCCGCCGCCCACCTGATCGCTGGCCGCCGCTCTGGGAGGCGGGGCTGCCGCTTGGTCTCCTGGGAGTGGTAGTCCCCCTAAAAATGAACTTTTTTAAAAAAAATACATTTTCTTAGTTTTTCACTCTATCTACATTTGATTTGTGCTCGTCAAACATCGTGTTACATGATTTGCTTACAATTATTTGGTTTTTTTTTACATCTCAGTGTCTTCCCAGTTGAACTTTTTTTTTGAACTTTGCTTCGGTCTTGCCTTCCTGCTGAGGCTCCAGTCTTTGCAAAGAAACCCGAGTGTGTTTGCTTTGATTTTTTTTTCCCGGTCCTTGCATGGATTCTGGCTCTTGTCTTCCCGTCACCGTTCCAACTCGTTTGGGACCGTTACTTTTTTTTATTTGATGTGCCCTCAAGCCTTTGTTTTAATGAGAACTTTGCTTCGGTCTTGCCTTCCTGCTGAGGCTCCAGTCTTTGCAAAGAAACCCGAGTCCCGGTCCTTGCATGGCTTCTGGCTCTTGTCTTCCCGCCACCGTTCCAACTCGTTTGGGACCGTTACGTTTTTTTAATCTGATGTGCCCTCAAGCCTTTGTTTTAATGAACCATGCCTGGGGGAAGTGGATTGGAATAAAATGGAGAAATCTCTTTATCCTAGGCCAGAAGGGAGAGAGGAAGACCGAAAGGTGCGATGGGTGGACTCGGTAAAGGAAGCCACCGGTTTACAGGGGATGAACTGTGAACGAGGTGACTTCTGGAGGTCATTGATTCGTAGGGTCACTCCATAAGTTAGCAACTTGATAGCACAGCAATAATGACAACAAGATTGTGATATAGCAGCTGAACAAGGCTTTTAGGGACACCCCAGGGAGGATTCACCGAGGCAACCCTGTGATGCCATGTTGTAGGGGTTGCTAGTCTGCTTCCAGACTCAAATCCAAGGCCTGGTTTTAACTTTCAGAGTCTGAGAGTATTCAGGACCCGGGTGCACCTGAAAGCAGCGTCTGCTTCTGTGTCTAACTGGAGCCTTCGTCGCTCGTCTGCAGAATGGGAGACTTGCAAACGGTCTTTTAGGATGCCCTTTTCAGCACAAGCAGAAGGCCTTTTTTTTCCCAGAATTCCCCCCATCTTTGTGCTTTTAGGATCAAATCTTTCAAGGTAGTCAGACTTTGACTCTCTGATATCCACGGGTGAGCACAGGGTGGGCTCACCACCGTTTGGGTGGCTCTCTTATTTTCTGTGGCATCAGCTCGGAACGGACTTGAGTGATCCTAGCTTTCAAGGCAAGTGAGATATTTAAGCAGCAGTTTTACCCAGGGATGTCGGCCAGTCTTTGGGTCCGAGGTCCAACTCTGAGTCTTTGGTACCAAGTCCAGAGTCCCAAGCGCCCAAGTTTGAGTCCTTATTTTAAAAACAAGCTTCTCAACCTCCCAAAGAATAAAGGCGGGGGGGGTGAGTTCCATGTCACTGACATGCCTGGTTTTGCCAATCCCACCTTTCACAGTGAGCTTCCATGACTCAGTGGAGATTTGAACCCGGGCCTCCCAAATCCCAGTCCGTCAGTCTGTCTGTTACACTGTACTGGATACCTTCACAGATGGCTGTCGTGACCACCAACGAACGTATTTAGGGGCCATCTCCATGAGCTTCTTTCACCCACTCCTTCATGAGATACCACGTTTTTGTGGCAACTGTTGGAAGTGGCAGCCACAGAAGGCACACAATTATGGGGTCAGCCACCTAAGATCTTGGCATTCCCATATGAGTGCGAAACACATAGCAGTTTCTAGATCCTGGCTCCATCTTTTCCCCTCTTGGGGGATCTTTGTCGGATCTTACACCCTACAAATCGAGGAAGGTAAAGTGCACTTTGAATGTATTAAACTGTGCCCCCCTGTGCAGACGACTGGACCCCAAATATAAACACATGTATGGGATAGTGCTCTTTTCACCCCTCTTTCAAGGTGGGAATTTTTGGGGGTTGGGGGAATCAGGAAAGAAAAACAGAGAGGGAAATAATCACGCCACCAACAGAGTTTTCTCAGTGAAATCCAATACACCAATGTCTTTATTAACTCGGGGTTAAATGTAACAAGCAGGAACCCGCCGTAACGGGATCGTTTTTTCCCCCACACTCAAAACTTATTCCTTCTGCTTCTTCAGCAGCTCCTTCAGTTGCTCGATCTGAGCTGTCACGCTGCTCTTGGCGGTCCCTCCCGGGGAGGTGTATTGCTCCACGCTGCTCTGGACGTTGAAGATCTGAGCCACGTCGCTTCCCAGCATGGGGCTGGAGGGAGAGGAGGCAGAGAGGAAGGAAGAAGGGGGGAAAGAACATGTCTGAAACCAGGTGTTTTTTTTCAAATGGAAACATCAGGTTCTCTCTTGGAGCGACCGAGGAAGAATGCAAAGCAGGTAAACCCAACTCCAGATGTTCTGGTGCTGAACTCCCCCAAACCCCAGCCCATTTGGCCGATTGGCCGAGGAACAGGGTTTAAAACATCTCAGCTAACTGTTCCTTTGAGGCTCAACGCAGCGGACATGACTCCTCTTGACACCCCTGCGAGGTAGGTCAGGTTGAGAGAAAAGGTCGCTCAGTGGATTTCCTAACTTAATGCACATTTGAACCCAGGCCTCTTTGTTCAACCATCATTCTAGCTGCTTTTCACTAGCAAAGACAGACCCACCTTCTCAGGCTAAAATGATGATTAATTAAAATATCTTCTCCCCCACCACAAGACCTTTATCTCTGGCTGCTAGTTTTGCAGATTTGAAGGCTAACCTCCCCCTCCCTTCCTGATTTTACCCCCAAGGACTCGTAGTGGGTGATTATACCGATGATTAAGAGATTTAGCATTCTATGAAGGGTGTCCCACCTTTAGCCGTAAGGTGAGCTCAGTTTTTAAGAGGATTAAGCCCAAATTCCCAGTGGAGAAACTCTGTAAGGCAGGTAGAAGGAAGACATACCTGATGGTTTTCAAAAGCTCCGCAGTAAGCTGGTTCAGAGCTATTCCTTTGGTCTCGGCGAGGAGGACCGCCTTCCCGACTGTAGAATGGGCTTGTCTGAATGGCATCTACGATCCAGAAGGTAGAGAATCAAAAATGGCTCCTCCTCTCTTTCTCTCTGCAATCCTTAGACATCCCTCGAAAACTCAAATGTCTCGTTCTGGAAGTTGATCTCCGGGCCAGCTGTGGGTTTGTGGAATATCTCTTCCCCCCACCCCACCCCAAGGCAAACACTGGATCTTGTAGAGCTGTGTTATGAACTCAAAAGGTAAGGCTGAATTCCTGATGGAGTGTACAGTGAAGATGGGGGTTCACTGGCCAGGCTAAGATCCACTGAGATCGGCAGGTGCTTCCAGGAGCAGGTGGCCTTTCAGGTGTGGCATCCCTGAGCATCCCCAGGTGGGTCTCCTGCCTAGACCTCCATTTGTTCAGTTTCAGCAAAGGGGCTGCCTCCTGAGACTTCAGGGCCGTGGCCTTGAAGTACCTGGGACACAGGTGAGGGGTTCTTTCTCCCCTCCTTCTGGCTCTTTGGATACTCACCCCCTTGCGGACCAAGAGGAGGGCAAGGTCTGTAGCCAGCAGCTCTGGGGTCAAGGCCTTCTCCATGGCCTCCTTGTTGATCTACAAGAGAAGCATCGAGTTCTCAACGGAGGAGAAGAACCTCCGAAGAGAGTCAAAAATAATAATCATCCGAATCAAGGTGCATCTCTGAGAAAAGAGCGAATAATTCCCTTGTTTGGACTTCAGATCCCAGAATTTCCTACCCACAGGGTCCCTGGCAATTTTGGGATGGGTCGGGAAAAAAACAGCAGGAACAGAAGCAGGATTAGGGCATCTGCAAATTTATTTTCCCTGGGACCTCTGCAATGAAATGCAGTGCACAGCTCATGCCAAAACAGGCGTCTTCCTTTCAAAGGCACTGCCGCCCTTTGGCTTGGCTTTTGTCTTCCTCGGCATTGGCAAGCTCTTAAATGAGGAAGAGGCTTTGAAAAAAGTAATCCCCCCCCCCCAGGGGAGTGGAGGTCATCTGACAACGGGACAGGTGATGCTCAGACTCCAGAGGAGATGGAGAAAGAGAGAGAGATTTTGCAGTTTCGGAGCAGGAAGCCGACCCGGGGAAATTCTCACCTGAAGAGTGGAGACTACTCCGTTGGCTACCTGAAGCACAGCACTGAGGGTGTCAATCACATCCAGCACAGCCTCCTTATCTTCCTGTTGGGATCAAGAAGGCATTATGAAGCTCAGGAGAGCACCACTTGGATGGGGACCACGGGGTCTAGCTTGCCACGGCCGCTGGGGAAGATCCAGTGGGAGGAGGAGGAGGAGGACAGCCAGAGGAAAGCGCTTGGCCTCAGTGCCCCCCCATCCACCCAAAGGCACCTCCCCCAAAGCAGAGAAGCCCTCCAGACTGAGGTTTTTACCTGCAGATCTTTGTTGTAGGCACTGGGAAGTCCTTTCAGAACCACCAGGAGTCCAGTAGTCTGTAACAGAAAAAAAGAGGGAGAAAATGTTGAAGGAAGCTGCCTAGTATAAAAAGAAAGCAACGAGGCTTAAGAGACCCTGCCACGGAAGGATCGTCTGTGTTTCGATTCCACAAGATGCAATCCCGGCTGGCTTCCCCTCGACTCTTGTGCGAAATGCACCATTTTCCAGCAGCCAAACCTCCTCGCTTCAAGGCAAATTTCTCTCCAAAGCTCTCGTTCATTCACCCCCCCAAGAAAAGGCTGGAGTCTTCATACAGCTCCTGGCTGTCAGGTGACTCGAACCCAGATCCTCAGCTTACCTTGCCAATGAGTCTTTATACAGCTCCTGGCTGTCGGGTGACTCAAACCCAGATCCTCAGCTTACCTTGCCAATCACGCTGCCGGTCTTGCTGCGGATCAGCTCCAGGCTGTCCGGGTTCTTCTTCTGAGGCATCAGGCTGCTCCCAGTGCTTGCGGAGGGGGGGGACGGGGGACAAGGAATTAGCAAAGATTCAGGGTATAGGAAGCTCCGGTTCACACATTACTTTGTAAACCCTTAAGAATCATTTCCCAACTTTCTGCTAGGAGAGAGAGGACCCTGTACAAAGTCTTTTAGCACCTTGAAGATGAACCGATTTGATCTCGGTGTGAGCTTTTGTGGATTGCACCACACTGCTTCGGACACCTGCAAAGGATCGTGTGATCCAGAAAAGTTCGGGCTGATAGATAGTCCCAGAATAGGCCCACCCGACTTGTTTTCTCTGCTTTCTCTCTCACTGAAAGAGACTAGTGCAATTCTTCTGAAAACATCCAGTACTCCTGTGACACCCTGAAGAGTAGCAGTGGTCCAGGAAACCTCATGGTATAATGATTTGTTGGATGCGAAGGTAACACAAGATTCTGAGTTAGTTTGTAGCACCAGAGTAACACAGTTGCCCTGTTTGAGAAAATAACCTGCTGGATTTGGGCACTCTGTACCTTGAGTTACATGGATAAATACGTGACAGGTGGGTGTACTGCTGTGCCTCAGGCAGCAAATTAACTTGGGGCTGCCTCTCTTTCCCGCAATGCACAGTGTGATTTCTTTGGCTCATCATTACCCCACCTCTACTAAGACTAAGAGCAGTTTGGAGCATATCACTGAACTCCTCCAGCCATCAATGGCAGGGGAACAATCTGGATGAGCTAGGGTGTTTTCTGGGTAATCTTTTTGCCCATTCATTAGTTCTCCCTCGCTGAGAAAGGCATCCAGGGGCAAATTCCAGAGGACGCTGATTAAAAGCTGCCAGGGAAGCAGGTGCGAGACAACTCAGAATTACCAGAAAGAATCGGAGAGGGTAATGAATCCAAACTCTTTTGTCGAGAAAATGATGAGGTCTTCAGCTAATTTGCTCAGGTGGATCATGATGAGGGAAGCAGTAGAGAGAAATTCCACTGGGGAAGAGGGAAAAAAAAACACATTGTAGCTCCCAGTTGGCAAAAAAAAGGTCACAGAAACCAGCCCATTCGAAGGCCTGTGTTTTCAAGCCTCTGATTCCAAATCTCTTTATGGACTGCTGGCTGCTCCAGAAGTTTTCTGCGCTCAGATCTCTGGCCTCGCCCCCCCCAAGAATGGGCCACCCTCCTTTCACTTACCCACAAAGTCACGGTCGGTGACGGCATCGATGCTGTTGAGGCTGATGGTAAGAAAATCCAGTTCTGCAACGGACAGAGAAAAGAGGTGAAGGCCACCCCCAAAGCTTCCCTCCAAATGAAAAAAGGAAAACCACCCCCCTACTTAAATGAAAACCGGCTGTCTTATGTGCTGGGGAGGGAGGTTCCAGCCATAGATAGATTTATGACGTGATGATCCCCAGATTTAGCTGGCCATGAGGAAAGCAAGGATTACTCTGTTCATGGGCAGAAGTTGGCCATGGCAGTTTCCATTGTGCAAACCCAGCAGAGGATGCTGGCCGAAGAATGAGAAAGATTTAATATGACTCATGGGCATGCAGCACCAGGAAACTCAACCTGGTTTCGGGTTCTGCTAGACTTTCTGTCCTTTCTCCGCGAAGGCAAGGTTTTAGGGTTTTAAAAGCAGAGGCATCCGACGTACCTTTGCGGAGAAGTTCCCGGTCCAGGCCAAGGGCATTGCCCGCCAGGGCTCCACTGCAGCCGAGAGAAAAGGAAATGAGCCTCAAATCAGCCTTTCCCACTCCTTCTGCCTAGCGTCTCCGGCAACAATCCACCCAGGCGGCAGCTCGCCCTGTTCCATGTGGATTCCTTGGTGGCCCTGAGGGTCCCATCAGCCCCCTTCCGAAAGGAGCTATCTATGGTCCTGAACCGCTTTGGGTGGGGGGGCATTTTCAGAAATGGGGACTGAAGCTACTGCTAGTTTGGAAATCTGTCATTCTGCTCCTTCCCTACCATTAGGAAGGACGAGGCAGAGGATTCAGCTGGCAAGACTCTGTCATCTGATGCCTGCCTTAGCCCTACCGACGTATCCAAGTCAAGCTTCTTCTGTTTGGGGGCAGAATTATGATTTCCTGCAAATCCCCAGGATTTTAAGGCTGAACTTGATGCTGTGCCCACCTCTTTAGGACTACAGTAAAATGCTGCAATAGTGATACGAAGGTGAACTTTTGGCTTTTTCAAAAATAGATTTTACTCTTTCTTTCTAAAAAAGGAAGCCTGGGTTTCCTTCTGGGCACAACCGGTCACAATGCTCAGATGGGAAAAAAATGTCATTTTTTTTTACCTTCCCAGTGGCAGGACGCTTACTCTTTTTTTCACCTCAGAGAGGCGCTCCAGGTCCCTGGTCAAGGCCACAGCGTGGCTGCAGGAAGTAAGGAGAAGAGGATTAAACGAAGCCAGGAGAGGATCCCGAAGGGCCTGCCCAACTTCCAGGCAGTTTGGAGACAAATTATTAAATGCAGACTTCCTTGGAAGGGAGTCCCAAAGAGGATGGGAGGATGATGGGAGTTACCTAAGCAAGAGGTGGCTCCATCTGATGGGCTGAGCCCGCTGGAGGTGGGTGTAACCAGGAAGAATCACCTCAATTTCACTGCAAGAGAAGAGACACCCCAGTTACAGACTCACATTTTGGATAGTCCATTTTCACAAAGGGAAATTTAATTTATTGGGGGAAAGTTATGAAGGGATAACATGACAACTGAGCTGAGCCTCCAGAGTCTGGGGCAGTCAAGCCCATTGTTTGGGGGAAAGCAACATGGTGTGCCAGCCTGCGAGCTGGTTCATAGGGGAGATTGCTGGGTTGCTTTCTTTTAACAAGAATGCTTTACACAGGATAATATCTGGGTCTGGTTGAACGAGGGAACAGGGATGTTATTTAAATTAATGGAAGATAAAACATATTAGCAATTCTTGGGTTTCGCCAGACGAGTAGAACCTCCATGGACTGAAGCAATATACCAGATGCTTAGGACAGCCGATTTACAGGCTCAGGCTGAGAACATCTCAAAAGCTTCAGTGGATTATTCAGGTGGCAGTTTTTAGGCTTGCTAAAACAGAGCTTCTGCATATAAAGGCAGTCTACCCTAAGCAGTACAGTTAAAGCCCATAGGAACAATGGAGCAGAGAGAGGTACCAATTTCACCTCATTTTCCATTCACTGTCCTCCTCAGAACACTTAATGCCCCACCCCCGAGGAGAGGACTATCAGTAGGCTTCAGTGATTGCCACTGGGGGAGCTCCAGGTTCAGATGCAGTCTATCTTGGAGGATCCGTTACTCGATGGGAAAAGCCAAGGGAAGGATTTTGCTTTCACGCCCAACCTCAGGGGGCAAAGCTGACTAGATACAATCCTCCCATCTCGCATTTCCTCCGAGGTTTTCAAGAAGAGGATGTTCTAAGGTGGATCGGGCAGGATTGGGCCAATAACCCAGGGAATTTTTGGGGTTGTCAATGGAGAGAAAAAGAGGCCATTGGACCCAACCAGACGCCCTGGCAGGGGCCAGTCAGAGCACCGAGAGATCGTGGGCCGAGGCGAAAGACTGGCAGGCTTACGTGGAAGCGCGCTCCACCAGAGTCCGGATGAGCTGCTGCAGGTGAGTGGACACCAGCGTGATGGCGCTCTTGAGCAGCAGCCTGAGGTCGGTCACCACCTGGAAGAAAGCCACACGGGAGTTCACTGTCTGGGTCTTTCCTCCAACCTTCTCCGAAAAGAGAGGCTCACTCTATTCCCTTCTCCTGGGGCGGTGGCGCGGGTGTGTGTGCCCTGGGACCACCGTGCAGCTTGCCCAAGGCCACACAGGCTGGCACTTCTCCTAGAGGCATGGTGGGGAATCGAACTCCGGACCTTGGGAGCCCCAAGGAAAACAATTCGATAGCCATGACATTTAGCTCCTGAAAGATGCCACGGGCTACTGATCAGGGGCAGAACGACCTTGGAAGCCCCAAGGAAAACAATTCTATAGCCATGACATTTAGGCCCTGAAGGATGCCACGGGCTACTGATCAGGGGCAGAAAACAGAGGTGGTCGGACATCTTTGCGCCCCTTTTGGGGAGAAAGGCGGGATAGAGATATTTTGAATGCCAAATAAAATAAAATTGTTTCTAAATTTGGTTCCTACTCAAAGAACTAAGCAGGTAAGGTGGACATTTGGTAGCCTGCATGCTGTAGATAATTATTATTAATAACTTACAGCAACCAGTTTTTAGCAGATTTTTTTTCACAAAGGGCCTCGCGATTAAGAGTGGGAGGCTATGATCCTGCACCCACTTACCTGGGAGTAAACCCCTTTCATGGCACCCAGTTTCTCAACAGTGGAAGCTGACGGCTCTGGTTTGCGGGGAGGTTTTGAATCCGCTCCGTGTTCTACTCTAAACCTTCAAGTCGCTGCCCGAGGTGCTGAACCTACTTGGGAGCTCAGCATCAGCACCCAAAATAACTCTTTGAAGGTTCGGCCTAAAACCCGGAATGGATTCCCTGCAATTTTGACCCTGCAGTTTCTGAACAAACATACGGAGGGTTTTTGCAAACTGCTCCCTCAACACCTGAGAGGGATGGGTGGGGTAGGGAACACGAGAGACAAAAAGTGGCACAGATTTGGTACCCCTTGGTTGCGGAGTGAACTGGAGGCAGCCGTCCAGTGTGAGTACAAGCAGGACTTGAACCCATGACCTTCAGAGATGCAGACATGTTCCTTAACCACCAGGCCACTTTGCCTTTCAGCGGCAGCTATGAGCTAAAGGAGGGAAAAAGGGCTATAGCAGTCAGCGATGGAAGGTGCCTTTCAAAGAGTGACGGACGTCCCCATTTTATCTGCACAACCGGCCCTCTCTCTCGAGAAAGCCAGAGGCAAAGCCAGGGAACGCCTCAGTGATGTTATATTCTGCTCACGGCCAGCCGTGGCCGTCAGAGCAGAGTGGGGAGAATGGAATGTGCATCTAGACAAAGTCCAGTGAAAGCGGGGGGCGTACATTGGCTAAGGGAAAAGATCCTTTCCAGAAAGAGAGAAAGAGAGAAAGAAAGAAAGTGGGGGGGGCGTACATCGGCTAAGGGAAAAGATCCTTTACAGAAAGAGAAAGAAAGAAAGAAAGAAAGAAAGAAAGAAAGAAAGAAAGAAAGAAAGAAAGAAAGAAAGAAAGAAAGCCAGCCACTGAGGAATTGTGCACAAGAGGGTCCAGAGAGCTGCTCTCATGCAAATAAGACACCCGGATCGTGCCTTTTCCAACATCCAAGAATGCAAGCTTGTGGACTGGCTGTTTGCATTCTGTAGCGGGGAATCTCTTAAGCTTTTATAGTTTTGCTTCTGCTTGACTTGGAAACGGGTGAGAAACTCGGGTTTAAACCCCTTGCCCTTCTTACTGCCCACCCTCTGGTATTTTGATAGGGCAAAGGTTTAGGGACTAGAAACTTGGTTTCTAAAGAGTTTAAAGGCTTAGAGGAGTGCCTGCTTATCGCTGACCATGTTTGCACGGAATGAGGAGAGAAGAAAGAAAGAAAGTTAGCGCCACAAGAACAGCAGGACAAGTTAGGAAAAGGATTTAGAAACAGAAACATTTGTTTTTCCTACCTGGTCATTTCTGCTTCTTCCAGTGTGAAGCTTCCCAGCCAGATCACCAATTAGTTCCTGAAAAGGGAAAGGAGAAAAAAATTGAAAGAAAAAAAAAGAGTTTTTGTGAGTCTAATGGATGGCTGTTTTAATGTCCAGGGAAAGTTTAGGTAATGCCTGTATTTTTAAACCACTGCCTTTTAAAACATTTGTTATTGAGTATTGACAAATATTAGTAATATGTGTGTCTCCACTGGCATTTGTAAACGTACTACAATATACAGTAAGTTTACATATTTCCATAGAATAACAAAAAAAAGGCATATTCTACTATTTCTCTGAATGTCCTGGGAAATATTCATCTTACCAACATCACATCACTCGTCCAAACCAGAGATATGATGCTGTTGGGTTTTTTTGAGAAGGGATTTCAACTCTCAGAAAGCCACATAAATGGCTGTGGAGTTCTGGGAATTTTAATCGAGAAAGGCAGCTTTTCCCTAGATGGGTTCCAAACAACACTTTTGCTTCCTGTACTTCCAACGTATTTTGTCCTCTGGACACAGAGATGATTTCCTGTTCACCCACAGAAGCGATGCCACTTGTCAGAAAGTGACTTCAGCTGGAGCAGTTAGAAGGTTTGTGAACATTCCATGACGCCCCAGTTGCTCAGAAGCCAAATCTCATGGACATTTTAAAAATGTTGGGCGCATTTAGAGTTTGTGAACCATGGTCACCCCCAGTAAAGATCTCCTTTGGTGACCATGTCAAACTGGGTGGCTTGATTCTGTCCGAAACAGACCTAGCTCGTGATCAACTCTTTAGAGTTGACCATCCCTGGAAGAAACCAAGACTGAGAACTGGGAGTCCCCCCTGGAGCTGATGCCCCCCAACCTTGAGTCTGCGTTCAATGGCAGTGTGGATGTCCTCGTCGGTCTTGGTGATCACCAGCTCGCCCTTCGAACTCTCCTCGGCAATCTGCAAGAACAGCAGAAGAAAGCAGGTTGGCTCTGAACAGAAACCTCTTTTTGGGTTCCCTGGTTGAGAAAATCCCAGTTGTCTTAAAAACAGTGGTTCCGAACCTTGGGTCTCCAGATGTTCTTGGACTACAACTCCCAAAAGTCATGGCCAACCCAGCTAGTGGCAAAGGCTTCTGGAAGTTTTCGTCCGGGAACATCTGGGGACCCAAGGTAGATGACGCTAGAGGGTTGGACCTCAACAGCTGGGTCTTTATGGCTCAGGGAACCTGGGCCTTGTAGTCCACCAAAAGGACTTTACCAACCTCTACTGTCGACCCCCAAGGAAAATCCCACCCCTCACCTTCTCCAGTCCACTCAGGATCTTCTCCAGTTCCGCTTTGGACAGGATCCCAGCCTTCTCCAGAGCCTTGGCATAGGCAATGCTTGCTTGGATGTCCACCTCCGTCAGGCGCTGATCGATCTCAATGGAAGAGTTCAGCTGCTCCAAGATGGGGTCGATAGCCCCCACCAGCCTCCCACTGTAAAGCTTGTCTCCCTGCGTGATGAGAGAACATTCCTTTTGCGTTAACAAGAACATAAATGCACTCTGCCTCCCGATTTCTGGGGCCGCCATCTTGAGGAAGCAGAGCTGGTCAAGATGGCGGCCCACAGCAAGAAACCAAGGGGGTGGCATCATTTTGGGTTATAATTCTTTAGTGAATCAATCTCAAATCCAGGCAATTTCCCTCATTCTTTTCTCCTCTTCCCACAGAGGCCAGTCTTTGAACCCAACCTTACAATAATAAGTAAGGATGGGAACAACTGGGATGCATCAAGATTTCTAGTTACAGGCTCTGGTGGAACTGTCAAGTTTATTCCAATGAATTAGAAAGGTACCTCTGGCTAATCACGCCGATGGTGAAATTAGACTTCAGGTTTCTAAGAAAACCCTATTGATTTGAAGTGCCATTCGAGAAGACCTAGATCCCATTTTAGCAACCCTCTACCTCCTCCATCCTCACCCCTGTTATTTTGGGCTGTAGCCCCTTGCTGATATCGCCTCTATCCCGAAAAGAGAATATGGATGTGGGTTGAAATAGTTTGAAACTCATGCAAAGCAGTCAGCCCAAGGAGGCAGCGCGGTGCAACGGTTACACCTGGGCTCTGAGCTCCACGGAGCTGCAAAATCCCGCTGGGTGTCCTGCACGGAGCTGCAAAATCCCGCTGGGTGTCCTTGGCCATTCTCCAAGGGGCTCCATGCTACTCACCTGGAGCAGTCTGATCCCCTTTTAAGGGCCACGGCTCCTTCCAGGTGCGCCCTGGGAAGCGTTGTTTTGACATGGTCTCACCTGTAGCTTTAGGGGCCCCCAAAAGTGTCGCTGGAACCAGCAGAGGCGTGGGTGGGATGGGTGTTTGTGGAGGTGAGGGGAAGTGCAAGGAATCTAGGTCCATGGACCTGCTTAAGCCCAGGATTCCCTTGCCACAGAAGACGTGAAAAGAGCTACTTATTCTGAAGATGCCTCGAAACCCACTCTAGCTCTTTGCCTCTGGGGTCCCCCTTTCCCTTTACAGGTGATTTACGGCATCTGATAGGCGACGGATGTTTGACTCCACGGATCACAAGGGGTTCCAAAGGTACCTTTGGGAGCACATGACGGGAGCACTTGTCAATTCCTTCAAAGCAAACAGGAAGACACCATGTGATCCTCTGGGTTTTTTTAAGAGCCCAGGCAAAGGTCACTGAGCGGGAGGCAGGGAGATTTCCCAAGGCTAAGCCAAAAAGCTCAGCTGGCAGTCAGGAATTTGGAGGATTTCTTTCCCCCACCCCCAGAAAAAAAAATAAGCCATGCTGGGAATAAATTTCACCCTTGAAAAAACCCACCCTAAAATGCCTTTTTCCCCCCTCCCATCCTGGGACAGGTAGTGGAAAATATTCAGCAAGAGACCTCGTTCGCTCTAGGAGGGTTTGGCGGCCAGTGACAGAGAGGAGCAATGCAAAGTAAGTAAGAAAGCAAAAGTTATGATCTTTTGGGCCTCTGATGGAGAGAACATCCATTTGTTTACTGGATATTGGGTTTATATGTGGGTTACATGCTTGGTATCCATTGTCTGGGGAAATCTCTTGAGGTCTCAAAGAGGTCGGGCAGCTCTTGTTCCAAAGCCTCGCTGGCTCCTGAAACTCACTTGGCCGGTCCTTCCCTCGTCCAGGCTCGCCTGCCTCGCTGGGCTGTCGTGATCTGGGAGACGGACCATATATTCCATCTGCAAGGCAGGCGGCCCCCCTGGGACCAACCTCTAGTTTTCTTCTGGTTCAGCCTCTAGGCGTTGCATTCTTCCCCATCCAGAAGCCAGCTGCCCTGGAGTGCTCGACCCTGCCTCTTTCCAAAGGGTATGGACTACATGCCCCATCATCCCCAGCCCGCAAGAAGCAGCAAATTGGAGAGGAAAGGAGCAGTCCTTGAGGACGTCAGGGAGGGAGCTGGCTCCTCACATGTGACACTTCTTAAATCTGGGAACCTCTGTGCCAGCTTTCCTTCCTTCGGGGTGGTTTACGCCAATTCCTGATCTGGAATTGATGCCTGTCCAGGGCTTTGCCAACCTCCATCACTCTGTCTTTTTGCCATGCCTTCCCCCAAATTTTCACCCATCTGGTCCCACCGTCTTTCCCTCCCTCTCTTGAACGGCTTTCCCCATTTCTTCTGGCACAGAGGGGCACCAGCTGCCCTCCCCAAAGACCTACATTTTCCCTCCCCAAAGACCCACATTTTCTCTAAAGCCCTTTCTCAACCACCCTTCCCCCCCTAGTCCTCATCAAATCCTACAGCTGGCCAAATTATTTTTATTTTTTCTTCCCCCCCCCACTTTCTAGCTGTTGCTTTGTAAGCTCATTGCAGGCAGAAACCTTAGTCCAGAAACGTGCCAAGCGGAGCCCTATCGTGGCTCCTAAACAAATCAAATAATTTTTTCAAAGTAGGCCCACTAGATCGATACCTGAAACTGTCAAGCAATCGTTACTCCCACTGTGAGCAGTCAAAAGGACCTGGGGATGGCCCTGGTTATGTACAGAATTCAAAGGTAGACTGCCCCTAACCATGGCCGTTCCACTCTTGCTATCCAACACCATCAGGATCATCCCGGGGGGAAATCCACACCCCTCGTAGGAATCAGAGCAGGGAGACGAAGTCTTTGCAAAAGAAGAGTCTCATTCGGAGCAGAAGAAAAGGATTTCGGTGGGCAGGGGTGGCGGAGGTGAGGAAGAAGGGGGTAAAGCTGCCTAAAATCCCATCTCACCTCAGATGCCATGCCTGGTGGTCTTCTTTGCTGCTCTTTTCTCCTTTCTGGTTCAGAAAGAAAAGTTTGCAAAATGCGTGTAAAACCTGCGAGACAAAGGGGGGGGGATGATTATTATACTGTATATATATACACAAACACGCATATACACATACACACACATATAGAGTTTTCAAACCCGCCTTTCAAGACAACCTACAGGCACCCTTCCACACAGACACTTCCACACACCCCCAGTAACCCCCTCCCAGCAATTGCAACGGGTACCCTGGTGGGAGGAGGGCCCGATCCACCGGCAGGCGCTCAGCCGCTCCGCTCACCTGCTGCACCTCAGCCGGTCTGTGTCGCTCGAACGGGCTGGGGGTCCCCTTTTTCAGGCTGTCAGCCCCCAGGAGCCACGCCCCCAGGGGGCGGGGCTTGCTCGGGGCTTGAATGGCTGGCC